TTCCTTCACCTTGGACTCTGGCGCCTCCCGGTGTTTCTTCCGCGACTCCACGACGCTGACGCCGCTTCCTGTTCCTGCTGCAGTTTCTCTTGCTGACCCCTCCGATGGTCCAGTCGTCGCTCGCAGTTCCACCTCCCTTCCCTGTCCGGCGGTTCCTTCGGGTTCGCTCACAGGTCTGCATATCCCCTCGTTCTCCAGGAACCTAGTTGGTGTCGGCTGCCTCCAGGACCTTGGCGTCACCACTACGTTCCCTGGTCACGAGCGGTATGCTGTCTGTACCGAGGCCGCCACTGGTGCCCCCCTTACCACGTTCCCCCGGGACCCAGTGTCAGGCCTGTTCACACTTGACACCGCGACTTCCCCGGCTGGGACGTCCCCCCAGGTGGCTGCGTCTACCCAGGTTGCTGCTGCCTGCTCCTGTCGGTCCCTCACTCACCCGACTCTCCTTTGGCACCACCGCCTAGGTCACCCTGCGCTCCCGCGTCTGCGTCACATGTCCCAGCACGGTCTCGTCCTTGGTCTCCCCGGTTCGTTCCCCGAGTTTCCCTCCTCCCCCGCCCCCCCGTGCACGCCTTGCGTCGAGGGCCGGCTTCGCCGTGCCCCTCACTCCTCCTCGTTTCCCCCTACCACCGCACCACTGCAGACTCTGCACATGGACGTCTGGGGCCCCGCCCCCGTCCATGGGCCGCGTCGCGATCGCTTCTTCCTCGTGCTTGTCGACGACTTCACGCGCTACACTACCGTCTTTCCCCTGGAGCGGAAGGCCGACGTGCCTGACGTTCTCATCCCCTGGCTTGTCTCGGCTCGTGTCCACCGCGGTCTCCCTGCCTTGCGTCTCCACTCCGACCGGGGTGGCGAGTTTGCCTCAGGTGTCCTTGGTCGCTCCTGTCGTGCGGAGGGCATCACCCAGACGTTTACCCTGCCGGACTCACCACAGCAGAATGGGGTCGCTGAGCGACGCATCGGTTTGGTCATGGAGGTGGCTCGCACCTCCATGATTCATGCCGGTGCACCCTATTTTCTGTGGCCGTTCGCCGTGCGCTACGCCGCTCACCAGCTTAACCTGTGGCCGCACCCCCAGCGGCCGCAGGTTTCGCCGACCCTTCTGTGGACCGGGTCCCCTGGTGACGCGTCTGCGCTCCACGTCTAGGGCTGCCTTGCTCACGTTCGTGCCTCTGGCACGGACAAGCTCACTGCCCGCACCCTCCCCTGTGTCTTTCTCGGTTTCCCCCTTGACGCGTCCGACTGGCACTTCTACCACCCGCCGTCTCACCGCTTCTTTCACTCTCGCGACGTCACCTTTGACGAGTCCCTCTCCTTCTACCGCCGCTTCCCCCACCGTGGTCCCCCGGTTACTCCCCCCCTGTTCCTGGTTCCTCCCTCCCTAGTGGTCCCTGCCCCTCCCCCCACCCCTCCCCCCCGTCCGGCCCCCTCTGGTGTGTCTCACGTCATCCCCCTCCCGTCGGTTGTCCCGATCGAGGAGTCTTCTGACTCTGGTAGTCCTCCGGCGCAGTCCTCGCCGTCTGTCCCTCCCCCGGTGTCTCCTCCTCCACCGCCTCCGCAGCCGCCGTCGCCGCAGCTGCTGCAGCCGTCGTTTCCACCGCCGCCACCATTGCCGCCGTCGTCTCCGCCGCCGCCGCCGTCGCAGCCGCCGCCGCCGCCGCCGCTGTCGTCGCTGCCGCCGTTTGTGGACTCTGGGGGTGCTGGCGTTGAGGTGGGTACTAGTCCCGGGGCTCCTGTCGTGGCTTGTCCAGGCGGGCCTGGGGGTGGTACCGGTGCTGGCGGGGTTTCGGGCTCTGGGGGTGTCCCTTCTGGGGGTGCCGGCGTGGAGGGTTCGGGAGGTAGCCGCCGCGCGGCTTGCGGCCCTGGTGTTGGTGTTGTGTCGCCGCAGCAGCAGTCCCCGCCGGTGTCCGCCCTTCGTCTGCTCGGCCTTCCGTCCCCTGACCCTGCGTCTGTTCCTCCTCTTCCCGTCTACGACCCTGTGTTCCCTCCGCCGGACTCGTCCCCGGCGCGCCTTCCTACTCGTTCCCCACCCGTGTCCCCTCCTCTTTCTCCTGACCCGACGCCTCCCTCTCACGTCTGGTCTCGCCGCCCCTCCCGCGCTCGTCCTGTCTCCCCTGCCCTGCGCTCTCACCCTATGTTGCTCCGTTCCCACGCGTCTCGTCCTCCCCTCCTCCCGTCTCCTCCTCCGTCTTCTCTTGTCGTTGCGTCTCCTCCTCTGTCTGACTACTTTCGTGCCGCTCGTCCTCTTGTTCCTCGGGTCCTTGCCTCTCTCGTTACCGACCCGTCTGTTCCAGTGTCGAGTCTTGACGCCCTTGTCGCTGCGGTCGCTGACTTCGCCTCTACCCGCCGCCTCGACTACGCCACTGCTCTGGTCTCTGACCCTGCCTGTCCTCCGTCTGTCGGGGGTGCTCCTGCCCTCTGCAGTGACGTCCTGGAGGACCGCCAATTCGAGCTTGCTTTCCTGTCCGAGGCTGCTCCCCATCTCTGTTCCATGCTGCTAGTCCCTGAGGGTGACCCAGACGCTTTCGACATCCCGACCCCTCGTACTTACGCTGAGGCGGTTTCGGGACCCTGGGCCTCTCAGTGGATAGCTGTCATGGAGCAGGAGATGGCATCTTGGAGATCCACCGGCACCTTCGTCGACGCAGTTCCCCCACCTGGGGTGAACGTGGTCGATGGCCGTTGGCTCTTCAAGGTGAAGCGCCCTCCTGGAGAGCCGCCTGCGTTCAAGGCGCTCTATGTGGCTAGAGGCTTCAGTCAGCGCGAGGGGGTGGACTTCTTTCAGACTTTCGCTCCTACCCCGAAGATGACTACTCTTCGGGTTCTGCTACACGTAGCGGCTCAGCGTGACTACGAGCTTCACTCCCTCGACTTCTCCACTGCCTTCCTTCAGGGCAGCCTTCACGAGCAGGTCTACCTGCGTCGCCCTCAGGGCTTTACTGGCACCTTCCCCCCTGGGACCCAGTGGCTTCTGCAGCGCCCAGTCTACGGCCTGCGGCAAGCGCCCCGTGAGTGGCACGACACGCTGCGTGCTACCCTTGCTGACCTGCAGTTCTTTCCGTCCTCTGCAGACCCCTCGCTCTTCGTTCGTGCTGGCCCGACTCCGTTCTACATCCTTGTCTACGTAGACGACTTGGTCTTTGCCACAGCTGACAGGGACGCACTGGCCTCTGTGAAGGCAGAGCTTCTGAAGAGACACACCTGCACTGACCTTGGAGAGCTGCGCCGTTACCTTGGCTTGCAGATCTCCAGGGACAGAGCCGCGCGCACCATCACCCTGACTCAGTCACACTTGGTGCGCCAGGTCCTTCAGAGGTTCGGCCTTCAGTTCTCCTCCGCACAGCCCACCCCTCTTCCTCTGGACCACAGACTCTCCGCTCCAGTTCCTGAGGAGTCGGTAGATCTCAGTGGTCCTTACGCTGAGCTGGTGGGTTGCCTCATGTACCTGATGACTTGCACTCGCCCAGATCTCGCATACCCTCTCAGCATCCTGGCTCGTTTTGTGGCCACAGGCAGACACCGACCGCAGCAGTGGTCTGCCGCTAAGAGGGTTTTGCGTTATCTTGCAAGTACATCGGGCATGGGGTTAGTGCTAGGTGGACGCAGGCCGGTGGTCCTTACTGGACACACAGACGCTTCTTGGGCAGACGACGCCGAGACACTCAGGTCTTCCCAGGGCTACTGCTTTAGCCTTGGCTCAGGTGCTGTCTCGTGGAGAGCTACCCGCTCCTCGTCTGTTGCCCAGTCCAGCTGTGAGGCTGAGATCTACGCCGGTGCCATGGCGGCACAGGAGCTCCGCTGGCTGACCTTCTTGCTCACTGACTTAGGTGAGCGGCCTAGCTCGCCCCGGTCCTGTACGCTGACAACAGGGCCATGATCCTCCTGTGTCAGGAGCCTCGACTCGAGGGCAGAGCGAAGCACATCCAGCTGCGGTACTTCGTCCTGCGCGAGCTACAGCAGCGTCGCCAGGCTCGCGTAGTACACTTGGCCTCCGGTGCCAACACAGCTGATATCTTTACGAAGGCGCTTGCGCCTAAAGATCATCAGCGGCACTGTGTACAGCTTGGTCTGGTTCCTGTAGTCTCTCACTTACTCGGGCCTTGACTTTGTACTGTCCTATATATATATATGTGTACACTCAGATTGGACTTGTGTCCTCTCACAGTGGTTGGACTAGTAGTGCCGCCCTGTACTTGTTCTTGCCTTGTCTGTACTCCTTCTGACTGGTCTTTTAGACCCTTGTCTCAGAGGCTGGACTAGTAGTGCCACCCTGAGCTGCTTGTTTAGGACATTCCCCTATGCAGTCTAGGGGGTGTGTCAAACATGTGTATTTGTTATGTTTGCATAGACTGTATAGGGTCACCTTCTTAGAGGGTACACCACCTAGGTATATCTTTGTGTACTCTCACTCATACCATTTTTCACTATTCTATTTTGTTAAAACCCTGATTACTCAGCGGATTTATTTTTTGGAGGCCTGAAAAATCAGGGCAAACATGGGGGGGGGTGTTAAAATTATCTAAGTTATAATTTTATATAGGCTTGGTAGGTTGTTACTGAACCTTACTCTAGAGGGTACAATCCCCTCCTTGTACCTCTCTTCCTTCCTGATTCAAACACCTTTCTTCTCGACATCCTCTCCCCTCCTAGATCCATTTTTCCTCACGCCATGCCATGGCGGCCTTCTTGCTAGTATCCTAGCCAACCTAGCCTCCTAAGTTTAAGAACCTTCAGTCCTAAGTTTCTAAGAGGGGGACCCTGAGCAATCAAGGTACCTCAAAACCAATCTGAGGCCCTGCTTCCGCTGCATTACTCCAGCATCTTGTACAAGTGGGACTTAGTCTCTGAAAAGATCCTAGGGTTTTTCTCAGCCCAACAAGCCCCCAGCAAAACAGCCCTTGTAACCTTCGCCCAAGCCTGCTTCATACGCAGTGTGTGTGAAGTCGCGGCTTGCAATTTGGACTGCGGGCTTTAACTGCGGGGTGTGCCTTCTGCAGGGGATTACGATAGGTGTATTCTACTGGAGCGTATATCAAGTCATAACCAATGAAGGTGCCTTGTACTACATAATGACTTCAATAATTTGGAAGAGTGCGCTAACGGCCCGCCAAGCCAATTCTGCCGTAAGCTGCAGGTTTCCCCGCCTGCAGGTCTTGATGATGCATGTGCGTTACTGTTACAGGGGAATAGAGAGCGTCTTTGTCCCTCAAACCCGTTCGATCCTTGTACCGACATGTGAAACCCTGAAAAAGAAGGAATGGGGAGACCAGGGGAGGGGGCACATGAAACAACAATAACTGCACCCACAGAAAATGTTGTGCAGGGAGGAGAGAAGGGCACACAAGCTACATGAGGGGAGAGAGAATGGTAATGGGGTGAAGAAGCGCTTCGTTGGCAGAAGCAACAAGGAGATTGGCGACTCCGAAGCATCCAGCCCAGATGCATCAGGATGACATACATGCAGTGCAGCAGCAGCAGCAGCAGCAGCCTCACGAGTCACGGCTGGTCCCGCATGGCCCAGCTTGGGGAGTACCGACCACTTGCATCGCCGAACCGCCCGTTGGTGTAACCATAACGACCATCATCGCCAGGCACTCTACTGCTCCCACCAGCAGCACCAACAGCACCAGCAGCACCACCAGCGGTACCATCAACACCGTCAGTGAACATCCCAGTGCTGTAATAGCCACCGAGGCTCCTGCCGTTATCTGCCCTTCTGCCGCCTCCTATCACAGCGGCACCACCGTTGTCCTCTCGTGCCTCTGCTTCATAGAGCATTGTGCCAGGGGATCGGTGGGGTGAGCGCAAGGGGGACTGGGACTGGCGCAAGGGGGAAGGGGACTGGCGCACGGGGGAAGGGGACTGGTGCAAGGGGGATTGGGGCTGGCGCAAGGGGGAGTGGGGCTGATGTAAAGGGGAGGGGGGCTGACGCAAGGGGGAGGGGGGCTGGCGCAAGGGGGAGGGAGGTTCGTGTAAGGGGGAGCGGGGCTGGTGTAAGGGGGAGTACGGCTGGTGACTTGGTGAGCGGAGGGGAGACATTTGGGGGGACCTGGTGGGGGAGCGGAGAGGCGACATGTGTGGCTGTGCAGCAGCCACAGCAGCTCCAGCAGCCATGTCTGGTGGTACATTGCTGGGATATCCAGACCAATACGCCCCCCCGCCCCTTCCCTGTGCATGGTCCTCCATTCTCTCTTCCTCCACCCTCCTACCAGACGGGGATCGCCCATGAGCCCCTCGGCTTTCTTCCACTCTGTATCCTCCCCCTCCCCCTCCACCTCCTCTTCCTGCTTCTCCTGCTTCGCCCCTCTGCCACTGCTGCGGCTGCTGCTGCTGCTGCCGCCTGTGCCATGCCTCCTCCTCCTCTCGCCTCGCCCTCCCCTCATCATCCTCCCATCTCTCCCTCCCTTCAGCATACCTCCCGCCCTTTCGTCCTGGCAACCCCTCCACTATTCTCTCCTCATCCCCCCCTCTCTCTCCCCACTCCCCCCGCCGCGCAAACTCCTCTCCTCCCCTTCTGCCCGACCCCCCTCCCCCATCCCTCTGCACATTCCTCCCCGAGCCCCCACGCCGCAGCGACTCTCCCCTCCCCAAGTCCCCCTCATCTCCCCCCCTTCCGCGCGGCCCCGTCCGCTCCCACGGGCTTCCCCCTCTCTCCCGTCCGCTCAGTCCCCGCTCCTCCGCATCCCGCCCGCTGCCATTACTCCCCGTTCTCCGCCACGCGCCCCTGTCCACGCCGTCCCCGCCGTCCCCCGCGCCTCTCCACCCTCCGCCCTCCGCCAGCGGCGGCAGCGGCGCCTCCCCGCTGCGCGCGCCGTTGCGCCGCTCCGCCAGGCGCTCGCGGATCTCCACGAGCGCGCGCACGACAGCGGTCATGGCGGGGCGGGTCTTCGTGGGGCGCACGCACTGCAGCGCGATCTCGAACACGTGGAGCAACGCGATTGGGTCGTACTCTCCGCCCATCCGCGAATCCGCTACCTCCTCCACCACCCCGTACTGCACGTACGGCGCAACCCACTGGGAGATATGCACCGGGTCGTTCCCATCTTCCCCCACAGGCACCCCGGGCATCCCCGGGATCCCCGCCGGCCGTCGCCCGCCTCCGCGCCCTTCCGCTTCCGCCTCCGCCTTCCGCCGTTGCGCCTGGTTCGCTCCGCCGGGGCCCGCGGGTTTCCCCACGATGATTGCGCGCTGGCCGGTGAAGAGCTCTAGGAGCACGACGCCGAAGCTATACACGTCCCCCTTTGTAGTCACCTTCGACGTAAGGTGGTAGTCCGGGTCTAGATACCCCGGCGTTCCCGCGACGCGTGTGAACGCGGCCTGCACTGTTCCCCCCCCCCCGCCGCCGCCACCGTGCGAGTCTATGAGGTTCTTAAGGAGGCCAAAGTCTCCTAGCTTCGCGAGTAGTTTGTCGTCTAGCAGGATATTATCCGGCTTCACGTCGCGGTGCACGATCGGCGGTGACGTAGCAGTATGAAGGTAATTAAGCGCCTCGGCGGTTCCCACGGCGATCTCGAGCCGCTGGTCGAACGTCAGGTGCGGCTGCGATCGCACGAGAGCCGACCCGAGCGACCCGTTCGGCGCGAACTCGTAGATTAAAATATGCTCCCCGCCTTCCGCGCAGTATCCCAGCAGGCGAATCAGGTTCTTGTGGGACAGCCGCGAGATCATCAGCACCTCGTTTTCGAAGTCCAGCGCACCGGCGGAGCCCGCGGGGAGGCTGCGCTTGGTGCGCTTGACCGCCCACGTGGTGCCGTTGGGCCCGCGCCCGCGGTACACGACGGCGAAGGCGCCCTCGCCCAGCACGTGGCGCCGACTGAACTGCCCCGAGGCGATGCGGACCTCGTCGAGAGGCACCTTGCGGAATAGGACGGCCTTCAGCTGCTGCTCCCACTCCGACTCCTTGGGTTGCTGCTGCTGCTTCGCTTGCTGCTCCCGCTGCTGCTGCTGCTGCTGCTGCTGCTGCTGCTGCTGCTGTTGCTGGTGGTGTTGCTGTTGCTGCTGTTGCTGTTGCTGCTGATGGTACTGCTGATGGGGATGCGGTGCGCCCATTGCGCCGTTATACCCGGCGGGGACTGCTCCTGGCCGGCCCGGACCCATCATTCCCCCTGCCGTTACTACACCTGCGCCCGCTGCGGGGACCAATGCGCCAGGAGGCGGCGCGAGCGGATGGCGCGGGGACCGCATTGCCGCCGCCGCGTGGTGCGGCGCAGCAGGAGGAGGGGGAACCGGCGGATGGAACGCGTGCGGCGGAGGCAGAAGCTCCGTCTGGTTCAGGTATGCGCCGCCCGCCCCGCGGGGGAGAGAGTGCGAGCCGCCGCTACCCACGTGGTATCCGCCCTTTCCGCCGCCGCCGCCGGGGACGGCACGGGCCGGCACGCCCACATGGCTCCCGACGGACGAGGGAGAGACTGTGCGGGGCGGGTATTTCATTGAAGCCGACGGATGGAGATAGGACTGATCGTAGCCGTTGGCGCTAGCGTGGAACGAGCCGCCGAGATTATGCGAGGAGTGACCCATGGAGAGGGCCTTATGCGGGGCAACGGCCGCGGAGTTTATCTTATCCTTGCGCTTGCGGCAGCGGAAACAGCAGCAGTAGAGGAAACAGGCGAGGAGGGCGGAAAGGAAGGTCACTACGCCTGCTCCTATTCCGATGAGCGCCTCGATCGACAGGCTCAGAGGCCCGATTCGCACCATGATGAGGTGTAGTGAGAACGAAGAAAAGGAGGGTTTCGCGGTTAGCCGGCGCACAGTGCTGATGGATGTTACGGGGTGTGGAGGAGAGGAGGGAGTCGCAGGTGAAAGTGGTTACCAGAGCGAGGCTTCGGACGGTAGCGTGGGAGTGTGATGATTGGTGCGCACTTGTGACGCTACGTTTGCTACCTCCGCCTGTACCCGCAAGAGTGACCCCTTATCTTCTAGACTTTTTCGTACGCTACCACTAACACGCAATTCCTAGGACGCTCCAATGACTGCTCGAAAGAGAGAAGTATCGTCAGGCTCCATCGTCGCGATGCGCTCGGGAGCATCAGTGCGGAGACCTAATTTGATTGGATTAATGCTGCTGACTCTCATCGCGGTAGGCCATAGTGCAGTCTAATCATCGATCTCACTCCCTGGGTTACCGCGTGGAGCCATAGCTGCTTAATTGAACGGAGCGTAATGGAGGCACTGAGAGAAGGCGTATGGTTCTATGCTGCTGCGTTGTGACGGCGACCAACAACGCTTGACACGGATGTTGATGGAGTTAGCTGCGGGGCATGCTGTGGAGGAGGAGGTGGTCGATCCAATGACTCGGAGAGTTAGCGAGAAATCTAGACCAGTGCAGCACGGTGAAGCAGCGCCAAGCGGGCAGTTCTTTCAGGCTGGATGTCACCTACCGTGGGTTGATGCGCAGTTGTCACGGCCACTTAAAATCTGGTGATGATGGCTGGATTACAGACAAGTCTGGTCCAGGAAGGATAAAACACGACAACCTAATCCTACTGACGGAAAGCATGCCTACAGAGACCGTCAGACAGTCGACGCACGTTCTCGAATTTCGAGCCGCAATGTTTCAACGGGGCAGGCATCCGTGCGCTGAGTCGTATTGTGAGGAGGAGAACGCGGCTCGCATCCAACCGAAATTTGGAGAGACGTTGAGATTGGTGGCGACTAGAATTCGGAAAACGAATATCATAACAGTACACGCGTACGCATGTAAAGAATGTTTTTTAAACTAGAAAACAACTTTTGTTAATGGGAACGCTTAAGGAAGCCTAATGTCAAGGATGAATCATCAAGAGCCTACAGGGGAGAGCTTCCAAACGAGGTTTTGACACTCAAACTTTCGAGCTTGAAATCTTCATAGTACATAATAAAATAAGCATAACCCACTCATCATATTTAGTGATCATAACCCAACTACACACAAAAAAATATTGAAGAAATCCTTATTGCAAACGGTTAAAGGGCGCAAGGTGCATATCGAGTTATGACCCAAACCTAGAGTGAAATAACTCACTTCACTTCAATGGAATTTCCCAGCATATGAACTCCACCTCTGCATCCAAGCTCTTTGCGCCCGCAGACATGCTCTTCATCTCCTGCGCTGGGGGTGTGGACGAGGGGGTGGGGTCTGACGCCCCAGGGGAGCAGCAGCAGCAGCACCAACAGCCGTGGGGACCCCCGCCGCTGTGGTGGGTAGGTGGCTTCAGTGGTGGTGGCCGCAAAGGCGGCCCTCGCAGCTCGACGTCGGGTGGTGGCTCCAGTTCGTTGATTTGCCTGCACCAGATTCAGTCTACTCCCCTTCGTGGCACCGTCTGTGGCCGCCCCAGTTGCACCGGTGCCCACTGTTACCTCCGCCCCGATGACCTCTTCCGTCTCCGCTTCGGGCCCACGCTGTCCCTCCCGGACTGGCACAACCTGGTACGTCGTCGGGTGCCGGTCTTTGAGATGGATATGGATCAGATTGGATCTGCTATGTATGCTATCTATACTGATCACTCTAGTGTTACTGGACCCTATTATTCTGCTGTGCCTAGACTAGGAGCTTCTATTGTGTTTAGTCTAGGCTCTCCTGCTGCGTCAGGTGTAGGACCTCCTGTCTTGTGTAGTCTAGGTTCTACACTTGTGCCCCTGCCGGCCAACACTACCGCCACACTCTCCTTCACGCTGGACTCTAGTGCATCCGCCTGCCTATTTTGCGACCCCACCACACTGACACCGCTTCCTGCACCGTCAGCAGTGTCTCTTGCAGACCCCTCCTCAGGTCCGGTAGTCGCACGCAGCTCCACCACCCTCCACTATTCAGCGGTTCCCTCTGGCTTTCCTACAGGTCTACGCGTCCCCTCGTTTTCCAGGAACCTGGTTGGTGTAGGCCGTCTGTAGGACCTCGTCACCACCACGTTTCCTAGACACCAGCGGTTCGCCGTCTGTACCGAGGCCGCCACTAATGCTCCCCTCATCACGTTTCCCCGAGACTTGGTGTCTGGCTCGTTCACGCTGCACACCGCGTCTACGCAGGTCGCTACGGCTTGCTCGTGGCAGTTGCTCACTGACCCGTCGTTACTGTGTCACCACCGTCTAGGTCACCCCGCACTCCCGCGTCTACGTCACATATCCCAGCACGGTCTTGTCTTAGGTCTCCCTGCGTCGCTTCCCGCCCTCCCTCACTCGCCCGTGCCTCTGCACACACCTTGCGTCAAGGGGCAGCAATGCGCTGCTCCTTACTCCTCCTCGTTTTCCCCCACCACTACACCGCTTCAGACCCGACACCTGGACATCTGGGGCCAAGCCCTGTTCCCTCAGCTACGCCGCGAGCGCTACAGTACTTCCTGGTCCTCGTGGATGACTACTCGCGCTACACCATGGTGTTTCCCCTGGAGCGGAAGGCCGACATGCCTGACGTTCTTATACTGCGGCTTGTAGCTCCAAGAGTCCACAACGCCCAGCCTTTGCTTCGTCTGCACTCTGATTGTGGAGGCGAGTTTGCCTCCGGTCGGCTTGGACAGTACTGTCGTATGGAGGGCATCACCCACTTGTACACCCGCCCGGACTCCCCACAGCAGAATGGGATCGCTGTGCGACGCATCGATTTGGTCATGGAGGTGGCTTGTACCTCTATGATCCATGCCGGTGCACCTCATTTTCTGTGGCCGTTCGCAGTTCGCTACGCTGCTCACAAGCTTAACGTGTGGCCCCGCTCTTCGCGTTTGCAGGTTTCACCGACCCTCCTCCGTACCAAGTCCCCTGGTGACACATTTGCGTTTCACGTCTGGGGCTGCCTCGCTCACATCCGCGCCTCTGGCGCGGACAAGCTCACTGCCCGCACTGTCCCATGTGTCTTCCTTGGTTCCCCCCTAGATGCTCCTGACTGGCTCTTTTACAACCCTGCGTCGCACTGTTTCCTCCACTCGTGTGATGTCACATTTGACGAGTCTGTCTCCTTTTATACCCGCTTCCCCCACCGAGGTCTCCCCGTTACCCCGCCCCTCTTTCTTGTCCCCGCTCCCCAAGTAGCTCTCGCTCCCCTCCCTCCCCATCCTGCCCCGTCTGGTGAGTCTCACGTCACTCCTCTTCCTTCGGTTGGCCCGGCGGAGGAGTCTGCTGACTCGGGAGTCCTGGGGCTCCGGGTGCGCCGCCTGTTTCTGCGGCGCCTGCACCCGCGGCCTCAGTAACCCCGCCGCCGCAAGTGCAGCAGCCGTCGTCGTAGCAGCAGCCATAGCCGCAGCCGCAGCAGTCGTCGTCGCCGCCGCCGCAGCAGGGGGGACCGGTGGGCTACGGGGGTGTTGGCACTGGGGGTCCTGGTTTTGAGGGGGTGGTCTACACATGAGTGCTACACATGAGGGTGTTGGTCTTGGGGGGTGCTGTCTCGGCGAGTACTGGTGGTAGCTACGGTGGTGCTGGAGGTCTTGGTGTTGGCACGACGCAACAGCAATAGCCGCAGCAGCAGCAGCAACCAGTGTCCGCCCTTCGCCTCCTCCGGCGCCGCCTCCTCCCCCTGTCTATGGCCCCGTGTTCCCTTTGCCGGACTCGTCTCCGGCTCGTTTCCCCCCTCGTTCTCCTCCTGTGTCTCCTCCGTTGTCTCCTGATCCAACGCCTCCCTTCCACTTCTGGTCTCGCCGTCCCTCTCGTGCTTGCCCCGTCTCTCCCCTACCGAGTGTCAACCTATGTTTCTCCATCTTCATGCATCTGGTGCTCCTCCTGCTCCTGTTCTGTCGTCGCCTCCTAGGTCTTCCCTCGCTGTCTTCTCTCCTCCTCTCTCCGACCTCCTCTGTGTTGCTCGCCCTCTTGTTCCTCATATCCTAGCCTCTCTTGTTACCGACCCTTCCGTTCCTCTCTCCAATCTCTCGGCACTTATAGCTATCGTCGCTGACTTTGCCTCTATCTGCCGCATTGACTACACCACTGCTCTGGTCTCTAACCCTGCCCGTCCTCCATCAGCCAGAGGTGCACCTGCCCTTGACAGTGACATCATAGAGGACAGACAATACGAGCTAGCTTTCCTTGCGGAGGCCGCTCCTCATCTCTGCTCCATGGTGCTAGCCCCTGAGGGTGACCCAGACGCTCTTGACATCCCAGCCCCTCACACCTGCACAAAGCCGACCACAGGGCTCTGGGCTTCTCAGTGGATAGCTGCCGTGGATGGAATCTTGGAGATCCACTGGCACGTACGTCGACGCAATTCCCCCACCTGGGGCGAACAATGGCCGGTGGCTCTTCAAGGTGAAGCGCCCACCTGGAGAGCCGTCGGTGTTCAAGGCGAGCTACGTTGCTAGAGGCTTCAGTCAGCGCTTCGACCCCGAAGATGACCACTCTTTGGGCGCTGCTTCACGTAGCGACACAGTGCAACTTCGAGCTTCATTCGCTTGAATTTTCCTCTACGTTCCTCCAGGGCAATCTGCACGAGCAGATCTACTTGCGCCGTCCGCCAGGCTTCACAGGCCCTTTCCCTCATGAGTTTGCGGCAGGCGCCCCGAGAGTGGCACGACATGCTGCATGCTACACTAGCGGACCTCCAATTCTTTCCGTCCTTTGCCGACCCGTCTCTCTTCGTTCAATCTGGTCAGACTCCGTTGTACATCCTAGTCTACGTAGACGACCTGGTCTTCACAACTGCAGAAAGAGACGCGCCAGCCTCGGTCAAGCCGCTGAGGAGACACACCTGCAGTGAACAAGGAGAGTTGCGCCGCTACCTCAGGCTGCAGATCTCCAAGGACATAGCGGCACGCACCATCACTCTCTCACAGTCACACTTGGTGCGCCAGTTCCTTCAGAGGTTCAGCCTTTAGTTCTTCTCAGCACAGACCCACCCCTCTGCCTATTGACCAAAAGCTCTCAGGTCCAGACCCTGACGAGCCGGTCGAGCCTAATGGTTAGTATGCAGAGCTCGTGGGCTGCCTCATGTACCTAATGACTTGCACTCGTCCAGATCTCGCAAACCCTCTTAGTATCCTTGCACGCTTTGTTGTGACAGGTAAACCCCGACCTCAACACTGGTTGGCCGCCAAGAGGGGGTTGCGATATCTAACAAGTGTATCAGGCATGGGGCTAGTGTTGGGAGGACGCGGGCTAGTGGTTTTGACAGGACACACACACGCTTCTTGGCACAGTCCATCTATGAGGCTAAGATCTACGTGATACAGATGGATACAGGAGCTCCGCTGGCTGGCGTTCTTGCTCACCGACTTAGGTGAGCAGCTTAGCTCTGCCCCAGTTTTGTGCACTGACAATAGGGCCATGATCCTCCTGTGTAAAGA